TTTTATATTTCAACGATCTTCCGACTTCCTTTTTTATAAATAGTTTTCGGTTTATAATCTATATACGTGTCTGAAACCAATCAATAATATAGTTTCAAATCGTAAATTATTCTTTGTTAATAAAATTGAGTTAATGATCTAAAATTTTTGCTATCAAAACCACTAGTTCAACTTCGTGTTGAAAGTGAACTTTTAATTCAGATTGCCCAACATAGCACATGACTACTATTTGCAGCTTGACACGTATAAGATCTCATTTGTGAATCAGCATCGGTTATAATTTAAAGAAACTAAATATAGATTGAGAATTCGGCCAAAAAAAACACGAACTTTACACGAATTGCCAAAAGAAACCTGAACTTTTGGCATGACAAAAAAAAACATAAACTTTTCATTGACTTTCGAATTAATTAACAAAGTTTTTGTTGACTTGCCAATTTGGCACGCCGTCAACAAATTTAACAGAAAAAATTAACGTTGTTAATTATTACCGTTAGGATGAAACGACGTCGTTTTCAATTGAGATGAAACGACGTCGTTTTAAGCGATTTGAAAATAAAAAGCCGTAGACCACTGGACTCGAACCCGGGTTAATCGGATTAAATTGCAAGGTAGTTTACCACTGAGCTAGTGGCGCATTCAATGTATCTACTAACACATTTTTTTATATTTGGTACTTATTGAATATAAAAAAAATTATATAAAAACTTTAAAAAATCTTTAAAATTTCAAAAAATGAAAAAAAATAAAGAGTTTTTTTATAAAATTAATTTTAAAATTAAAATTAAAATTATTTTTTTTCTTTAAAAAAATCAGACGGGAACTCTTAAAATTTTATTTTTCTTTCAATATATCTACTAACACATTTACTTATATTTGGTACTGATTGAATATAAAAAAAATTCTATAAAACTTTAAAAAATCTTTAAAATTTCAAAATATGAAAAAATAAAGAGTTTTTTTATAAAATTAATTTTAAAATTAAAATTAAAATAAATTTTCTTTTCTTTAAAAAATCAAAAATCTTCCAAAATTTTAGTTTAAAGAAAAAAACAATTATTTTAATTTTAAAATTAATTTTATAAAAAACATCTTTATTTTTTCATTTTTTTTTTTGAAATTTTAAAGATTTTTAATGTTTTTATAGATTTTTTTATATTCAATTAGTACCAAATATAAGTAAATGTGTTAATAGATACATTAAAAGAAAAATAAAATTTTATAAGTTCCCGTCTGATTTTTTAAAGAAAAATAAAATTTTATTTTAATTTTAATTTCAAAATTAATTTTATAAAAAAATTCTTTATTTTTCATTTGTTTTGAAATTTTAAAGATTTTAAAAATTTTTATAGAATTTTTTTAATATTCAGTCAGTACCAAATATAACTAAATGTGTTAGTAAATACATTGAATGTGCCACTAGCCTAGTGGTAAACGACCTTGCCACTTAATCCAATCAACCCGGGTTCGAATCCAGTGGTCTACGTTTTTTATTTTCAAATAGCTTAAAACGACGTCGTTTCATCCTAACGGCAACAATTAACGTCTGACTTAACACCGTCTTAACGGTTTGTTAACGGTGTGTTAAAATGGCGAGTCAATCGTAAGTTTCTTAATAAACTAATAAAGTCAACAAAAGTTCAGGTTTCTTTTGGCCAGACTCGAGTACAGGTTTCTTTTGGCCATTCGTGCAAAGTTGGTGCTTTTTTTGGCCGAATTCTCAATATAGATATGTGGATGCAGTTGTGGGCGGCCATGATGTTGCAGTCAGGGGTTGAATATATAAATATTTATTTTGGGTCAGCCAACATTTTTTCTTTGTATTGAAAGAGTACAAGTTTCAACCAAGAAAAGTTTCAACATTTCTCCTATAAAAGATGGACAGATATCAATTTTCCAGAAAATTACATGCAATAAATTACTCCTTCTGTTTCAAAATAATAAATATTTTAAGTTTTTCACACTTATTAAAAAATATTAAAACTTAGTTATTAATGCATAAATTTTTGTAATTTTATTTTCCCATATTTTTAAACCAATAAAATTTCAAAATATACAATTAATATTTTTGAAATTTACAATTTTTCCTTATTAATTGATAAAATTTCGAATAAAAAAATCTAAAAAATGTATCGTTTTAGAACACCAGTTTTTTCTAGAATATGTATCTCTTTGAAATAGAGGAAGTATATTCCAACAACCAGAATACATTTGAAACATTTTTGAGAATTCATATTACTTAGAAACCAGTTTTAAATAGAAATAAAAGAACAGATAAAGCTAGTAAAATAAGTGATGTTTTCCGTTTATAATATAGATGATTTTTTCAAGTTTTAGTGTAAATTTTATTAATTTAAAAGAAATTATGATTTTACCTCTTTTTACCATTTAAATATGTTTATTTTAAATAAAATAATATTTTCACAAATACGGCATTTTTTAAAGAGAAAAAGACTGTTCTACACCTATTTTAAAATATATATTGATAAATAAATTTAAATATATAATACACAATATAAAATTAAAAATTATAATTTTAGTATAAATTTTGAAATTCGAAATCACTTTAAAAATATTTTAAAATTTTATTTTAATTTTAAGTATTTATTTATTTTTAGTATTCTAAAACACACCTCTTAGATATAAATTCTAAATATAGATTAGAGATATAAATGCCTATTCACCTCTTTGAAACTAAAAGTAATATAGTTAAAATAAACATGAAAATCATATTAAGAATGTGTTAATTTAAACTATTTTCTTATTTTTATATGCTATATAACTCTCTATGTTCTATAATTTGTTTTCCTATTGGGTAAAATATGATTAAATGTATAATTACTAATGTTTTTATTTATATAAAATATGCAACTTTAAATATCTTTTAATTTATCTACACGAATCTAAAACATCAAATAAAAAAAGGGTAAGTGATTATTACCTATCTTATAATTGTCATACAACTACAAGTCTGCAAATATCAGTGAATCTGATTAGGTCTAAATTAGAGTTTTTTTTCCTTAAAACCAAAGATCTATTATTTGTTGAAAAATATTTTTGATTGGACTTTATTTTTAGTTTGGAACGTGAGTTTTTTTTTATTAAAGTTTATTAGACTTTAGTAATTTATATTCATGAAAATAAATTTAATGTCTTTTCTGTATAATTTTATAATTGTATTCCCGATAAGATTTGTTTCTTTACTCAGTTTAGAATTGATTACAAAAAAACTTTATAGGAAAAGTTGAGACAGATTTATAACTGACACCAAATATTCATATAGCATCATTATATAACTGACTACCACAAAGTTACACATTCTCTCTATGAAACGCAAAACCAAAACAAAAAATTTTCAAATTTATCTGACAAAAAATTAGCAAGTCATTTGACATGTACGCTAACAAAATGTTATAATGGTCACATCATATAACATGTCCCAACAAAACAAAATATTAGTCTTATAAACATCCATATTTATAAATGGTTCAACTATATAACTCAAATCTAGAACTTAACCCATATGCAATTATGATTAGACTAATAGAAAACTAAACCAAATTAAACCACAGAAAGGTGCAATACTATATAGAAGACACTATTTAAATAATCATTCGTACTTTATAAAACCCAATAAGAAGAATTAAATAACAAAACTCTTATAATTATGGTATGAAACAAATATACAAAAATATAAACCACCGCAAACATCTCATGCATTTCAATATCCATCATCTGATAATATATAAAATTTTCTCAAATTACAGCAACTTATTTTAGTCACCCCTAAATTACATAATTATTTAGACAAATTCCAAACATCAACCAAACATTTAGTATCAAATCCGAAATTTCTAAAACAAAAAAAATACACTTACACAGCATCTATATATAAACAAAAGTTCTATCCCGCTTGAAACACGGATAAATCACTAGTTTAATAATATTTTTCATGTCCAGGCTTGACATAGTGGGTTTATCTTATTTAAGAGCATTTCTTGGAACCTAGATATAAAGTTCCTATTTAACGATATCATTTCAGAGATAAAGACAGAGATATCACTACTAAGCAAAAATGGTACCGACATACGCGTGGTTGTGGACGCTACTCGCCTTTGTTCTGACATGGATGGTTTTTCACCTCATCAAGAGAAAGGCGGAGGCTACGGAGGAAGCAGAGGCAGAGGAGAGAAGAGACGACGTCGCTGATGTTATAATTGTTGGGGCGGGTGTGGCAGGCTCGGCTCTAGCTTATGCTCTTGCTAAGGTAGATCCATATCTTTAGCATTTAGTCCAACGTTTAAGGAAAAATGAAAAAGAGAGACAATAAAGAGAGTAATTATGCATGGGTGTCTAACCGTTCATGGATTTTAAATACAACAAAAGAAAAACTTGATTTAAAATTATGAATCTAAGTACTAATTTCGATGAGTTTCTACAAAAATGTTATTTTAAGTTTTGCATTAGTAGCTATTCAATATGTGTTCATGATGATTTACATGTGGATCTAGGATGGGCGGCGAGTACATGTGATAGAGAGGGACTTGAAAGAACCTCAAAGATTTATGGGAGAGCTGATGCAAGCAGGAGGACGCCTCAAATTAGCTCAGCTTGGCCTTGAAGGTTTTTCTCTCTTTCCTTCACATTCATCACTACACAATAATTCTTGATTTCTTGTTGCCATACGTC